GTGGTCAGGCACAGTGACTCACACCTGTAATCTGAGTACTTTGGGAGGCCAAGGCGGGAGGATTGCTTGAGCTCAGAAGTTTGAGACCAGCCTGGGTAACATAGTGAGACCTCATGTCTACAAAAAAATTTATTTAAAAAAAAAAACAGTTCTTATAACCCCCCTCATCTAAAGCCTGAATTAGAGACATGGTTGGGAGACAAGCAGGCCACTTCAATACCTTTGATGTTAAATGTATTAATGTTAAATTCATGAGTTCTGGGTGGCCAGGAGCATTGTCTAATATCAAAAGGACTTTAAAAGGCAGTCCCTTACTGTCTAGGTACATCCTGACTTAAAGGACAAAGCATCAATGTAATCAATCCAGAAAAAGTATTCTCATTGTCCCACACCTTCTTGTTGTACAGCCAAAAGACTGGCAGCTGAGGTTTATCTTTTCCTCTTTTCCCTTCAAAGATCAGGGATGAGGAGCTTTACAAATAAGGGTAAATCTACAGATATGGACTCATCATAAACCCAAATGCATTTATACAAAACAGTAGAGTTAGCCTATCACTTTCTGACATAAATCCTTGGACTTGCTTCTCTTCCTTATTAATAAATGTCCTTTGTGGTATTTTTTTTTCTAAAATAGGGCACTGTTCAGGCAGATATCCCTTCCTCTCAATAATTTTTTTAAAACCGCATCTAGGAACATTTCTGCTGCCTCTTCATTGGCAGAAGCTGCTTCTCCCGCTATCTCGACATTTCTTAAAGCCAAATCTCTTCTAAAATTATCAAACCATCCTTTGCTGGCATTAAATTATCCAGTTCTAGATCCTTCATCTTACTTTTAATTTGAGTTGACTTTGCTTTTCCTCTAATCATATTAGAGTCTAAAGGTATGCCTTTCTTACAGCAATCCGGTACCCATGTAAAAGCTGCATCGTCAACATGAGATAAGGGTACTGTACAAAAAGTGCAAGGTTTTTGCACCTGCTGTTGTAGCTGCAGTGATGGCTTTTACAATTTTTTTAAACAATGGTTCTTATGCTAGATTCATTTAACTTGAAATGGCAGGCAACTAACTGCAGCTGCAGACCTCACATCTATGGTACATATCAAACAGTTCAACTTTTTCCTGTAATGTCATGACTTTTCTCTGCTTGTTGGGAGCACTTGCAGCATCACTCACTAGTGGCACTTCATATGGGTTCCTTGATGTTATTTAATGTTCATGGTGTTGCACTAAACATGATTTTTAAAATATGCAATAACCATGAGAGATCACTTTTTACTGCAATATGCAATTTTCTGGAGAGATCAATTGCTCCTGCTGAGATGATTAATGTCACTGCACTTTAAGTAGATACAACACTTGATCTCACTGCAATAGCAACAGGAGGTGGCTACAAAATTACTGGCATAGTACAGTACATACTATGGTTTTATTTCGTGATTTAATACTATGTATTAGTCTGTTCTCATGCTGCTAATAAAGACATACCCGAGACTGGGTAATTTATAAAGGAAAGAGGTTTAATGAACTCATAGTTCCACATCGCTGGGAGGCCTCACAATCATGGTGGAAGATGAAGGAAGAGCAGGGGCACGTCTTACATGGTAGCAGACAAGAGAGCATGTGCAGGGGAACTCTCCTTTATAAAACCATCAGCTCTCACAAGACATATTCACTATCATGAGAACAGTATGGGAAAAACCCATCCCCATGATTCAGTTACCTCCCACTGGGTCCCTTCCATGACACATGGGGATAATTACAATTCAAGGTGAGATCTGAATGAGGACACAGAGCCAAAACATATCACACTGTATCTTTACATTTGTTGGCATGTGTCTTGACCGTGAATGGTGCCATGTATGGTCTGTGTTTGTATGCGTAAGATTTGATCACTTTTAACTTTTTAATAATAGATTTGTGTATATCTTATGGTAGTAAATGATAACACTAGTGTCTACATATATTTTTTGCATTTATAACATACTAAACTTTTTCTTATTTTGGGGGGGGGTATTTCTAGGCTGCATGGCTTGTGAGTTTCTTCAAATTGTTGCAAATCTTCAAAAAATTATCCAATCCGTTTATTGAAAAAAACCTACATATAAGTGGACCCACTCAGTTCAAACCCATGCTGTTCAAGGGTCACCTGTATTTTATAGAAATGCTCACTAGTCCACAATAATGTGCTGAAAAACTACAGGGCACAGATCAATGGCAGGGTAGAGGTTATAAGCAGATTTTGACATCACATAGTCAGAATAAGAGGGGGCTCTAATGTCACATACACTATTAATCAAACAAATGATACACCATTAACCAATAAACAAAGAAATAAGAAAGAAACATAAAGGGCTAAGAAGTATCATGAATTAATTCAGGTGTCAGGAAGAGCCTCTCTAAAGAGGTAATAATTTTAAGATATGAATAAGATAAAGTCAGCCAAGAGAAGATCAAAGGCAATCAGCTTAGAGTGTTCCAGGAATTGCAAGAATGCCCATTGGGCCAGAGCACACAGACATAAGAGACTGTGACGCCGGATAAGGCCGTAAAGGATTTCAGGGTTTAAATCATGCAGTGTTTGATAAGCCATGATAAAAGATTAGATTTTGTTCCAAGTATGATCAGAAGCCATTTGGGAATTTTAAGTAGGGGTTGGCATTATCAGATTTTTATTTATGAGAGATCAGAATGACTTACATAAGAATGTAGAATATAGTTGGACAAGAATGGAAGGAGTTAGAAGCAGGGAGGTTGGTTAGGAGGTCGTTGCTGTGTGACACTGGGCAAGTTACTTGATCTCTCCGAATCTCGGGTTTCATTATCTGTCCAACAGGGATAATTCAACAGGGTTATTGAGACCATTAAATGATATCATGTATTAAGAGCTCTAAGCTCTAAGTATGATACTTGTTATATAAGAAGCACTAAACAGTAGCTTGAGAATTGTGATCAGGTGGAAGCTGATTTTCAATATTATGTGGACTGGTTGGTGCAGCTCCACTACTTTCCCTACCTACTTCTGTCCCTCTCATGAGCCACCCCTGCATTAGAACATGTAGCACATCCCTGACCTTTTCTCAGAAAATCTGCCATATCCACACATATCATTTCCATCTGCTCCCCTTCCTTTGGCCCCTCTGACAGGACTCCAAGAGTCTTAAATCTTATGCATTTTCAAAGGCACTAACGTGTAGTTCATTGCATGAATTAGTTTAGATCAAGTTGGATCATCTTCTTCCTAAAAGCAATCTAAGACTCCCTTCTGGGACATTTCAAATACCTCATTACATAATGACACTATTTACTAGAATGCTTTCTCTTTTTTTACGTTTTATGCTAGATTTTTCCATCGTTTCAGGGGAAGAGTCAACACTATGGGGGAGACCCCCAGAGTACAGTCATTGGCATAGAATGGAAGAATGGCATTGAGTGGAATTCAAGGAAGTCACTGGCATAGAATGTATTCCCTGGCAGGGGCCAATGTTACTTGAGCCAGACCACAACAGACCCCTGTGGGTCAGCACCATGCTGCTCTACCTCCAGAAATGGGCCTCTGGGAGCCTGATAGGATGTCTTGCATGAGGTCTGTCCCCTACAGACATTGGTTGGGGAGGCAATAAAGTTGGGCCAAAGGATTTTCCAGAAGGACCCCCCCCCGCCCCAAACGGAATAAAGAATCTGAAGAGATAGCAGAGAGGTAAAGGACAAAGTTTTAGTGGCAATGACTAACATCTGGGGCCTTCTTCATCATTCACTTGGTGAGGTACCTGGGCCTACTGACAACCAGAGCCACTCTGACCTGTGCTGAGACCCTGCCATAACTCCTGGGAACCTCAGAAGGTTCACCACACATACATTCCTGTCCTGAATGTTAGTTCTGGCAGTCAGCCCTACTCCAACCTCTCATTTCCACTATGATACAGATGATGTGATATCAGACTGCATTCTGCCATCAGAGGAACTCTTCATTTTATAACAGAAAGAGGCACAACTTTGGAGCACAACTGTCTGAGTTTGAATCCTGGCTCCAAGACCTATCAGCTCTAAAGTCTAGAGGCATTAGCTGCCTGTGCCTCAGCCCCACCTGAAAGATGAGATAATAGAATCTATCTCATATAGTTGCTAAAAGGAGTAAGACATTTGCCAGGAAATACAGTAAATGACACAAAACCGTTTGTTAAATAATGAAGAAGAAGAAAAAAAAAGATAATCATGCACGAAAAAAAAGAAGTAAAAAAGAGTAAAGATAACAGAAATAGGAATGAAGGGAGGAGCATGATCAAAAAGAAAGAGTAGTAATTTAAACCAGATATAATAAATATCCCTAGGGTTTTTCCATATTTAATCTCCCCCATCACATGTACAAATAAAATGGGCTTACTTTCCTCAATAAAAGAATGGATTTAAGATTGAAAGAAAAGAAAATAGTAAAGAAGAAAGGAAGGAGGGAGGGAAGGAGGGAGGAAGGGAGGGAAAGAGAGGGAGGGAAGAAGGAAGGAAGGAAGGAAGGAAGAGAGGGAGGGAGAAAGGGAGGGAGAGAGGGAGGGAGAAAGGGAGGGAGAGAAGGAGGGAGAAAGGGAGGGAGAGAGGGAGGGAGGAAGGGAGGGAGGGAGGGAGGGAGGAAGGGAGGGAGAGAGGGAGGGAGGAAGGAAAGAGGGAGGGAAGGAAGGAAAGAGAGGGAGAGAGAGGGAAAGTTAGAGAAAAGAAAGAAGAAAGTAACTAAGGGAAGGAGAAAAGTGAGGAGGAAAGAAGAACAATGTGAAGACAATAGTCTGAAACTGAAAAAAATATGTTAAAGTTAATTATCAGCCTTTGAGTCCAAGAACTGGCTTTCCTACTTAGTATAAGTTTCTAATTTACTGAATAAGCATAAAAATTGCTTTGAGGAATGGTTATAAACACATTCTTAGAGCATAGTAGGCAGCAGGGAGTAACAAAACAATACTGATCAGAATATTTTACTCTATTTGAGTAATCAATCATATTCGGTTTGACTCACCTTCCCAGCACCTTCTAGTTCTTTCTTATCTTTCAGGGCATGTCCAGACAACATCTTCATTTCAACCACTCCTGCTATTGCAATGATGGGTACAATTGCCAAGAGAAACAGTGTTAGTTGCCAGCCATAGATGAAGGATATAATTATTCCTGTCCCAAGATTTGCTATATTCTGGGTAATTACAGCAAGCCTGGAGCCTATAGCCTGCAAAGCAAACAAAACAAATTGAGAAACTTTAAAAACTATTATCTTCACAATTTGTGCTTCTATTTTCTAAAAACACACCTTCATGAGACGATATTCATTATTTTCTCAGTTCTGAAATAAAACTAAAGGTTTACCGATAAGTTTATTGAGTTTCTACAGTAATAATTTCCATGATTTCAGAATGCTGAAAGTAGAATTTACAGTTCAATTACATATTCCCATCTCTTCTCATCTTTAAATACCAAGAAAATCTTCGTTAATCACAGCAACACTACTAAAGCAACCTCTACAAATCAGTGAGATAAAGGAGTCTGACAAGCTGGGAATGATAGATAGATAATATTTCCAATATTAGGTATATAATTACTTATAATTTAAGATTAATATTTGTCAATAATATTCAAATATATCTAGGTCTGTTTGAAATAGTATGTTTAATTTGGAAAAAATACAGAGCTGCAAATTTTGAAATTTAAGGTAGTAAGCAGGCATCGTAATCTTCTGCTTGAATTCCAGAGGGAGTCTGAAGCATGACTTTCACTAGTGTGCACTAATTTCCAGATCTAAAACCAGAAGTCAAACTACAGAGTGAGTTTAATCCACCACTGTATAATATCCAACTCTAAACCAGATTTCCAACTCTGAAACCAAAAGTCAAGCTACAAAGTCAGTTTAGTCCATCGCTCTATAATTCAGTCCACCATATGTCCTCTATCCCGGAAATATTCTGTGCCCTCAAGCCAACCCACATCTGCTTTTTTCTGGAAATGGCCCATGTTCTTTTCCATCTCTAAAGTTTCTTCTGCCCAAATGAGGCTGGTGTCAGGTAAAGACTATAACGGAGTACAGTCTAGGATGGAGATGGTCAATGTCATCTCTGTGACTTTGGATTCTCCCAACTTCTAATATAAGCTGGTACATTGACTAATAACCAAAGCTTCTCTCTGCTCTGAATTCTGTGATAGTGTCAGAGGCATTCAAACCAGAGCAACTCCATTTTGAATAAGCTGGATAAAATAAGGCTGAGATCTACTGGGCTACATTCCCAGGAGGTTAGGCGTTCTTAGTCACAGGATGTGATAGGAGGTCAGCATAAGATACAGGTCACAAAGATCTTGCTGATAATTGTGGTAAAGAAGTCAGCCGAATCCTACCAAAACCAAGATGGTGATGAAAGTGACCGCTGGTTGTTCTCACTGCTCATTTTACGCTAATTATCATGCATTAACATGCTCAAAGACACTCACACCAATGCCATGACAGTTTACAAATGCCATGGCAATGTCAGGAGGTTACTCTCTATGGCCTAAAAAGGGGAAGAATCCTCAGTTCTGTAAAGGGCCTACGCCTTTCCTTGGAAACTCATGAATAATCCACCCCTTGTTTAACATGTAATCAAGAAGTAACAATACGTATAAACAGCTGAGTGTCCCATGCTGCTGCTCTGCCTATGGAGTAGCCATTCTTTATTCCTTCACTTTCTTTTTTTCTAAATTTTTTATTAATTTATTATACTTTAAGTTCTGGGGTACATATGCATATCATGCATGTTTGTTACATAGGTATACACGTGAACTTCCTTTCACTTTACTCTGTGGATTCGCCTTGGATTCTTTCTTGCTTAAGATCCAAGAACCCTCTTTAGGGGTCTGATTCAGGACCTCTATCTGGTAACAATAGAATCCTTTATAATTCCCTATATTAATCCCTCCAAAATCATTTAACACCTGCCTGATATAAACACCAGACTAGTACTTAGGAAAAGAGTGCTATAACTATCAGTAGTCTTTAAATACATTAAACGCCATACCATGGAGCTGCACCAGCACTGAAAGAGATATCATAAACAACAGAATACCTGTATTTTTAGTTGATGTAATCATTGAGCTTATATTAAAGGGATGTTTTGCCAAATTTGGCATAAATCAGACTGGAGTGGTTTTCAAAGCCAGCTCTCTGCATTTCACATCTTTAATTTGAAGGTCAAAGGATATAAGTTAGAGAACGTCTGTGGCACAGGGATGATATAGGCTGCTCCTGTTCTCAGTATCTACAAGTCCTACTCAGAGCCCATTTCCCACTGCAGTTACCTGGAGGGGTTCAGTCAGGGTGGTGGGAGAAATTATAAGACTAAAAATTACAGAGAAAAGGATACGAACCTTCTTGGAAGGCCAGAAGGCTTTTGCAAAAGCCTCAAGGAGGAATGAGCTGAAGGCAGCAGTTCTTACCCAGAAACAATTACGCAGGAGTAAGTACAAAGGAATGTAGGGGAGTTTATTTAAAGAGCTTGTTTACTCATGTGGTCCTAAGACTGACCTTTGAACATCCACGGGCACATGGCTGCTCTCTACATGGGGGTCAACAATGTTATTACCCATAAATGGTGTTTGCTTTAGGCCTCAGAACCTGGCCTTTAATCATTTGTAAGACTGCTCTCTCCAGGGACAGTGGCCATGTTAATTATCCACAAGTATGCAGACTCAAAGCTTTTGTCCGCAGCACCAGCTGGTAAAGGCCATGGCTGCTAACTATTTACAGGACCCTCATCAGGGTCTGTCAGTGATCCAGATCCCTAGTCCACTCTTTCACTGGATATCTATGTATAAGTGCATTTGTTTATCCATCGCTAGGTCAAGGTCTGCTAGTCAGATCCCACAGCTACTGGCTTATGTGCTTAGGAGAGAAGCTCTTAGAATATCACCTGAGTTCACGGCAGAGGAATTACCCTGCTATATAACCTTTCAGGCATATAAATGTTCAGCTTTGGATAGTAGTCAAGGGTCCCAGAAATAAATAAGATGGATGAAAGACGGCAAATTCTTTAATGTACCAAAAATAGTAACTAAAAGATCTAAGACCTTAAGCTTCAAGGAGATTTAGCTCCTTGGCTTCATTTGATTTAGCACTTCAGACATTGCACTGGTTACTGTTCCTTTTTCCTAAAGATTAACACTCACTGTCCTACATCTATTCCTACAGTATAGGAGTCTATAGAAATATGAGGACTAAGATGAATGGAAGAGTACAGATTAGTAGCCAGGAAATTTTCATTGTAAAGAGTAGGGTTGAGGGGAGGAACCAAAATCTGTCAGCCAAAAATAGGTCAGCTAGTAGTGTAAAGTATATCCAAAGTCCTCTCTCAGCCAGTCTGTGACAACAGCTACATTGGGCTTTCCTAGGTTGACAATATTTGCCAACCTGCTCATTTCCTATTCCCTGGGCTTTCCTTTTTAGCCACTGTTTTAAGTTCTGGAAAACTTAATGGCTCACACAAGGTGAGTGTAGCCAACCCGGCAGGGCCATGGAAGTGCCAGTTTGAAGTATCTCTGAGGAAACAAGTGAAAAGCAGAAGGTTGACCCCAGGAGGCAATTAGAGACAGTGAATATGGCAAAGGGTCTCACAAACAGCACTGTGAAGGGAAAAAAGTGACCACCAATTTTAAAAATATAGGAACTCACTGTGGCCTAAGGCAGGTCATAACATCAGAGGAATTTAAGAGGAAGGAAGAAAAATTGCAATACAGAATGCCCTGACTACATCTGTTCCGGATTCTGCTGCAAAAGACTGCGTTCCCTCCAGGATTGTGTCTTCCACATGAAATGGAATGTGAGATATTTTTCCTCAAAGCACATGAGCCCATATCACAGGGTCTGTGTCATATTGTGCAATGTCACATTGCACTGGTTACTGTTCCTTTATTCCAAAGACAAATGCTCACTGTCCCACATATATTCCTCCTACAGAGTAGGAGTCTATAGAGCTCTGAGGACCAAAATGAATGGAGAAGTATAATAAACCTATTTAGTAAACCTTTTTTAAGGTTTTTACTAAACAGGTTTACTAAACCTGTTATATAAAAGGTTTACTAAAGTTAGCTAAGTTCAGCCTTCTTGACATCTACACATGGATGTCTAATACAGACATCACAAACTTAACATGTCCCACACACGACTCTCCCTTCTCCCCCAAGACTGCTTCTCTAGCAGGCTTTCTAATTTCATAAAGATCAACTCCAACTGGGTATGGTGGCTCACGCCTGTAATCTCAACACTTTGGGAGATAGAGGCAGGCGGATCGTTTCAGCCCAGGAGTTCAAGACCAGGATGGGTAGCAGAGGGAGACCCTCTCTCTACAAAAAATTTAAAAATTAGCTGGACATGATGTTGCATGCCTGTGGTCCTAGCTACCAGGAAGGCTGAGAAGGGAGGATTGCTTGAGCCCAGGAGTTCTAGGTTATAGTGAGCTATAATCACACCACTGCAGTCCAGCCTGATCTACAAAGAGAGACCATGTCTCTTTAAAAAAAAACAAAACAAAACAAAAAAAACCTCCATTTTTTTCCATTGTGCAGGTAAAAAATTTTGGAGTCATCTTTAAATTCCCTTTCTCTCATATCCATCACCTAATCCAACCAACATATTCTGTTGGCTGTACTTCTAAAGTATATCAAGAATTAATTATATCTTACAGCATTTTGTGTAACAATACGAGTCTAAAACATTATCATCTTTCTCCTGGATTACTGCAATAGATGCCTTCTATGCTTGCCCCCTTTGGCCTATTTCACATAGTTTCTATAGTGATCCTTTAAAAATTTCAGATCATCACTTTTGTGTCTAAAACCCTGCAGTGGTTTCCCATCTAATTCTGGATATAATGCTGATCTTAGCACTTATGACTCTTCCTTTCACTCACTCTATTCCACTCACTCTGTCTTCTTCACTTTTTTTTTCATGTGCGCACACGTGCGAGTGTGTGTGTGAGAGAGAGACAGAGTCTTGCTCTGTCACTGAAGCTGGAGTGCAGTGGTGTGATCTCAGCTCTGCAACCTCTACCTCCTGAGTTCAAGGAATTCTCGTGCTTTAGCCTCCCAAGCAGCTGGGATTACAGGGGTGTACCGGTAATTATGTTCTATACAACTTGATCTAAGCCTTGATTTTTACTGTTTTGTTTGCTTTAAGCAAAGAAGTTTGTATTGAAACAACAATTACAAAGAGGGACTGGTACCATTCCTTCTGAAGCTAATCCAAACAACAGAAAAAAGAGGGACTCCTAAGATTTATATTTCAATGTTAGAACTCTATGTGTTTCCTCATTTATAGCTTAATTTATTCTTTCAGAAGCCCCATATATTAGACAGAAGAGATGTTAGCATAGTACTATCTTACAGAAAGATTTAAAGATAAAGATGGATAAAGTTCAAGAGGGGAAAAGACACAGCAGACATCACATGAAGGTTTTCAAATTCTACATCATTTTGTGGATTTTTGCCATAAACAGTTGTTGAAGAAATTGTCACTTCAGCCAGAAATAAAAACCTGCTAGTTCAATAGTTTCTAGTTATATCAAGAGATTCATACAGTAGAAAACTTTAAGTTATTAAAATTATTAAAGTTTAAAGTTATTAAAGATAAAGTTATTCTATCCTTCCTTTAATTTTTAATGTGCTTTTCATTTCTTTCAAACAATATTTTAGAGAATTGTCTTCCTTCCCTTCTGTAACCACAGTGAGCTTAAACTTTCTTATGGCAATTAAATATATCATTTCTTCAGTCGCAATTACAATTTTATGTTAACTAGCACTTTATATTCTCTTTCTAAATAGCTATTCTACAAGTGCCTTGTTAATAGCATGAATAATAGCAATAGCAAAAGAAGGTGTATAAATGATCTACAAGCTCTACAGTATATAATGTTTAAATAGTTAACATTTTGTTATAAAAAGCATGTGATATGTTTGTAGGTTAGGTATTTACTGAACATTTTCTTAATGATGATAAATAACACCTGTAACAAAGAAAATTAGTTTCATGCTGGGGTCCAAAATGGTCAATTAAGACAAACACCAGTAGAAAGGAGGCACATACCCCTTTAACTTGAGCAGCATCATTGGCAAGCCTGGTAGTCAATGCTCCAGTGGTGTTTTTAGGGTCATCAAACCAGCTCACATCCTGTGGCACAGAACATGGTTTTATTATCTTAAAGCTCTGTTTATGAGACTCTCAGCTCAATAGGGCAGGAACAGGGTCAGTTTTGTTTATACTTATGTTCCCTCCATTTAGTACTCAGGATGTGACATTCAATACACGAGAAAGAAACTTAATATAAAAACACATAAATAGACCATTTCATTTGTCAAAAAACTGCCTGAGTGCCTACTTTGTTCTACACATGATTTCTAAGTGTCGGACCTGTATGAAAAAAAAAGACAAAGTAGCTGCTTTCATGAAGCTTAGATTCTAGAGATAGAAGGCACAAATAAAAGAAAAATCGATCAGGGTAAGAAAGACAGGGCTGGGTACAGTGGCTCACACCTATTATCCCAGCACTTTGGGAGGTCGAGGCAGGCAGATCATGAGGTCAGGATATCAAGATCAAGCTGGCCAACATGGTGAAACCTCGTCTCTATTAAAAATACAAAAATTAGCTGGGAGTGGTGGTACACGCCTGTTGTCTCAGCTACTCGGGAAGTTGAGGCAGGAGAATTGCTTGAGCTCAGAAGGCAGAGGTTGCAGTGAGCTGAGATCACGCTATTGCACTCCAGCCTGGTGATAGACAAAGACTCCGTCTCAAAAATAAAAGATAGAAAAGTGAGGGGAGGTGCTATTTTAGAGACTGGGAAGGGGAAAAAGAAGGCCTGTTTAAGGGGACATCTGAACAGAGGCCTGAATGAAGAAAAGGATGAGAATACCTCAGGGAAGGAAGAAATAACACATGCAAAGGCCCTGAGGCAAAGGCATATCTAATCTGTTCATATACCAGCAAGAAAACCTTAAAGGCTGACAGTAGCCTAAAAAGAACCTTTGTGTGAATTTGCAAAAGCTGCACCTTCCTCTGGACAGATTTGTATTCTCAGTTGGGTCCTCTGATTCTCCCCTCCCCTACTCTTGGGCAATGGGCCACTGTGTATGGAGTAGATGGTGTGCTAGAAAACGGTGGTTGTAGGAGATGAGTTCTGAGAGACAGTGGGAGCCACATAGCGTATGGCCTTGTAGGCAACTGTCAAGATTCCAGACTGTGAGCTAGGCGCAGCCTTCAGCAGGTTTGGGCAGTGGGATATGATTTGATTTCTATTTTAGCAAAATGACTCTGGCTGTTTTAAGGTGAACCTACTGGATTGGGATAAGGGAGGCAGGGAGACCAGTTAGGAAGCTTTTGCAATATTAACAGAAAGAGAAGAGTCAAGGATGGCCTCAAGGTTTTTAGCTCAAACAAGTGGTAGAATGGTGCTATCACTTACTAACATGAGGCAAGAATGGGTAAGGAATAAGGCTGGTGGGGAGGAAAACAGTCAAAAGCTCAAGTTTGGAAATGTTAAACAGTGAAACTCTTATTAGATACCCAATAGAGAGGCTGAACAAACAGATAAATGTAGCTCAGGGCAGTATAAATGATTTGAGTCAAAAACAAATCAACAAAAGCAATCCATATTAACATGTAACATTCAACATAAAATAAGGTTTTCTTTTAAAAAATATTTATATTTTTAAATACACAGATACTAATATGATTATGAATTTTAACTATGAATTTACATGTTTTACAAATAACTGTGGTCCCTAAGAAGTTATCTAAACTGGTTCTTTATATTAAAGAAGTATCTATTATTTTTCCCAAAACTATTTAAGAAAAAAATAGTGCTATAATTTATTATAGTATGTATCAAGTTGCTTTTCAATATTCTTAGGTGCTTAAAAGTATCTCTGCACAGGACTGTAATTTCCTTGAATATAGGGACCACTCAGGTTTGAATGCCCTACAATACTAAGTACTAGACTTTATAAGCAGAAGGCACTTAATAAATGCTTGTCCTACTTAACAATTTATAGAGAGGGCATTCCACAAACCATCAGCTCAGCTGCCAAAGCATAATGGACATAGCAGTTGGCCTGGGGACTTGCTGGGTAATGGGAGATTTGGCCCTGGAGCAAGGTCAGCGTTGACCTAAATAGAATCAGAATTATAAGTACAGTTTGACCTGAGAGTCCAGGGACACGGTTTCCCATGAAACCGCGCTCTCACTCAGATTCGGTCCTGGCTCTGGAAGTCACTAGCTAGCAATTCCCACAAATATATTTTCTTTTTAAGAGATAACAGGAGGAATAGGGAAGGACTAAGGAGCCATACACGGTTGGAAAAATGTGAATGTCTCTAGAAAGCCTAACATACCAAACTGATGCCTCTTAGCCAGGGTTCAAGTACCCCAGGCACATCTGGGGCAGACTTCTAAAGCATCATTTTACTCAATGGCAAGTGATTAGTGATTTTTAAAATGGAAAGTTTTTAGGCCACATACAAAATTTTCATGATTGTTAAAGGAACTTTCCCCTTTGAACCAGGCTGCTCTGAGTTACATTCCTATAATTCCTTCCTCATTTCCCAAGGAAAACATTCACATGTGTCCATGGTTAGGGTTTTGAAGGTGCAAAATGTGAGAAGCATTCCATCAAACCCATTATCAACCAGTAACACTGCAGCTTGAACTAGTATTTCGGTCTAGCCTCAGAAAAGAAAATGGGCAGTGAGGAATGGGCCACAGGGATGAGTTTTGGTTTGTGGAAAGAGAGAGTACAGAGGGCACCTATTGGTGGAAAGAAATACTCATGCCCTGGATTTCCCAGGAGAAAGAGGAAAGACAGGAAAGGGATGAGGGGTATCAAAGATGCCTTCTGATTCTTTATATTAAAGAAGTATCTATTATTTTTCCCAAAAATATTTAAGAAAATATTTTTGCACTGCCCACCATTGCTGAGACACAGGCTAGATGTGAATCTACTCTAGAGGCTCTTTCTCAAACTGGTCTAGTTCCTTGTGCCCACCCAGACCAGTCAAACCATAGAGCCTAGCCTGCACCTAGTGGGTGGTTCAGCCACATCTCTGACATAAGACTGAGGGACAACCAATATAGAAGCTAGGCGTGGGTAACATGACAGAGCTCCCACTGAGTCCACGGGGCACACATGGGGAGTTCTACACATCCCAGTGCACAACCCTCGGTAGACATACCTGTCTGAGCATGGATCGGAAAACCATGTATCGGAGCCGCTTTGTGAGGATCTCTCCAGCTTTGCCAAATGTGAAGCCCTGTGGATAGAAATATGCCTTGTCAGAGACCCAGTCGCCAATTACACAAAAGGAGGGAGAATTGATATATTTGCTAAAGCAGATTAGACAGTCAGAAAGCCTGATTTCAAGGGCTTGCTATGTTTCTGCAACTTTGTGCCATGGCACAAGGCTGTACTGGTGGTATAGACAAAAAAGCCCACTTTACAGAAAAACTGGGGTTTAGTGAGGCTGATAAGATCCAGAAGCCACAGTTATAAGACGGCAGAGTTGGAATCTGAATCTGAGTCCATCAGACTCCTAACCAGAATGGGAACCCAGAGCCTGAGCTTTTAATTACCCACTGGGCTCCCTCCCCATGTTACTAAGATGAGGAGTTGGGCGGTCTAACATCTTTAGGCATTTTGCTATCTCTAGACTTCTAAGGTCCTATAATTCACACACTTCATTCTCGCTTGTTTTCCAGGCAAGCTAGGTTCCAGTCTCCCCAAGCACCTAGAGCTGTGATGTTATAAAGGTAGTGGTCTAACTTCTTTTCCTTCACCAGTTCAAACTGTCAACATTTAAGGGACCAGCTCAAAGCCTACCTCACTCCAAGTTTCTTAATCAAATTTACAGTGAGCAGTCTTTACCCTCTCCAAACACCTGTGGTATTAATAGCTGGTATGGCAATCCTGTAAGTAGCTAGAGTGTCACATTTATTCTAGTAAGGTCAAATTCCCCAGTGAGACTATAAGTACTTACTAAACAAAGAATTCAGTCTGCTTATCTTTTGCAACTCCTATAATGTCCAGAACAATACTCTATTTTTAAAAAATCTAATACATGCTTACATGTTAAATAAAGAGATCAATTCAGAGTTTTATCTTTAAGAATTACAGGTGGCTAATCATTCAATTAATAAGTGATTACCTACTACTGCCTCACTCAGGCCTGGGCACTTGGTCACACGATCCTTTTAATCAAGAGGAGATACCAGTATCCCTAGTTTACAACTAAGAAAACAGAAGCTTCGGCAGGTTACTTATTTGCCCAAGGACACAAAATCAGGAACAGGTACAAGGAGCACTTGAACCAAAACCATTATGGTCTTGCCATACTAAACTTTATTTATTTATTTGTTTATCTATTTTGAGACAGGGACTCACTCTTGCCCAGGCTAGAGAGCAGTGGCATGATCACAGCTCACCGCAACCTCCACCTCCTGGCATCCTGGGTTTCTGAGACATTTCCTGCCTCAGCCTCATGAGTAGCTGAGACTACAGGGTTTCATCAGTACGCATCACAACACCCTGCTAATTTTTGTGTTTTTAGTGGAGACAGAGTTTCGCCATGTTGGCCATTCTGGTCTCAAACTCCTGACCTCAGGTAACCCACTTGCCTCGCCTCCCAAAGTGCTGGGATTACTGGCATGAGTCACCGAGCCCTCATACTAAACTTTTAAATTTTCCCTGCCATTTCATTTCAGCCAAATGATTTGTAAGCTGTACAAATCTGACTCTTTACGAATGGTTCCTACATTTTTGTTGAAGGATTGACATTCTTCCACCATTAAAATGATTCTTTCTCCTTTAACAAAAGTTGAATGATAAACCCTTCAAACTCTTTTTAAGCCAGTATGGGGTGTTGTTTGTTTGTTATTGCTTTTAGAACACAGGAGGGCATTTGAGTATTTACATTTACTGGCAATACTTATGTCCAAACTTGTATCCAGGGTTCCCCCACACCCCATTTTTAAGTCCCCACCACCTTTCACGTCTAATCATCATATTAGGCCAAACACTCTGTTCCCACTGGTTTCATTGAGTGAGGGTAGACAGGAGAAGGTAAGCAAGGGAGCCAGAGGAGGCAAACATCTTTTTTTCACTATGTCAGAAAAAGTTGGCTGTTAGTAACCATGTTAACAGAGAAGTTCTACTAAAAGGCAAATTACACTGATGTTTATAAATTCCCCCAGTTGAATAATGATGCATTTCTCAAAACAAATAAAGTGAAAGTGGAGACATTTACCTGAAGGAAAAATGTAATAAAAGAAATAATTCCAAGAATTAGAAACAGTAGTGAAAATATGTTACTATTTTGTCGTTTTGTTTCAGGATCCTCATTTCTTGTAAAAACCTGTGAGAAAACATTTAAAAGGTTTTTAGTTCAATCAGTGAAGAACCCAACCTGGACGTGACCTATTTCCCATCTAGCCCAATATTCAGAGGTCAGGAGAGCCTTAGTACACTGGAAATCGTTGTTGGCTTTCCCATTGCCAGCTTTAAAGGTATCTGCATTCTGCCTTCCATGGAGGCCAAGGATGAGTCTGTCATTAATAAATTGATCCATTATTTTTTCTGCTCAGATTCCCTCTTGGAGTCATGAGTACCACTCAACTGCGTAAAGTTGAAATCAGAACAAATACTCTCCTCTTCCCTTGGTGGAGAACTACAACTATGGCAGTTCGTGCCTTTACTATTTGGACATTTCAAACTGTCCCGAAGTGTCTGTGGAAAATCTGACGTGGTTTCTTGGTGAACCACAGAGCTGTGGTCATTCACTTTGCCCTGGCCCTTCAAAAAGAAAGGAGTTTCCTTGACCCTGCCTTCTTTGTAGGATGGCCAGTTAAACAGCCAGGACACTACAGTTACCTGACCTAGCACCATACATGAAAATTTTTCCAGAGATGGTTAGAAGGGCTGACAGGGTGTTTTGGACTCAAGGAACACAGAGAATAACCATTCCTCAGGGAAATAAAACACACATCTCCCTTCATAGTGGCCAAAATCAGTCCTGTAAGATGGCCACATTCCTAACCCAACACAGACAACTTTATCCTTCGTAAAAAACAATCAGACAATAACAACAACAACAAAGGATTTTTGAAGAGATTAAATAAATTTTTTTGACTAGTCAGTCCAATAAAAATCTTAACAATTACTAAAATCTCACTCTGTGCCAGGCATTATTCTAAGCAAATTCATATATACTATTCCTCTAATCCTGGCAACCATCTCCTGAAGTATAACTTATTATCAGCACGGTTTTACACAAATAGAAACTGAAATATAGAGAGGTTAATTTAATTTGTTCAAGTTAACACAGCCAGCAAGGGATGACTCAAGGATATAAATTCAAGCAATCTGATGCAGAGCCCATTATCTTCAATGACGCAGACATCTGGTTGCCTACTCAGTATCTAAGAGCTAATATGCCAGCCTTGGGTCATGTATCTCCAGACTTATTGTTATATGAAGAATGAGAAAAGTATAAAATCAATAAATTGAGGTTTTGTTACAACCAAACCCATTCCTAACTTAACCAGTTCCTTGTTTTTTCTTTTTCTGATGACACCATGATCTATCCCTCTCAACCTGAAAGACATATATCAGTGCAAGGATCAGCAAACTACGGGCCACTGGCCAAATGTTTATATAAAGTTCTAATGGAACACAGCCATGTTCATTTGTTTCCACATTGTCCTTGTGTACTACCAGATCAGAGTTGAGTATTTGCAACAGAAACCATATGGCCTGCAAAGCCTAAAATATTTACCATCTTACTGTTTATAGAAAAAGTTTGCTGACTCCTGCCCTGAACACCTACTCTACAGAATCAGACATTGGATCACATTCTCGGAATTTTTTTCAACAACTAGAAAAACATCCAGCACATAACAGACACAAAGAATAATTCTTGAGGCCGGGTCCGGTGGCTCACGCCTGTAATCCTAGCACTTTGAGAGGCTGAGGCAGGTGGATCACTTGAGGTTATGAGTTCGAGACCAGCCTGGCCAACATGGTGAAGGCCTGTCTCTACTAAAAATACAAAAATCAGCCAGGCGTGGTGGTACACGCCTGTAATCCCAGCTACACAGGAGGCTAAGGCAGGAGAATCACTTGAACCTAGGGAGGCGGAGGCTGCAGTGAGCTGAGATCATGTACCACACTCTAGCCTGGGTGAGAGTGAGACTCAAAAAATAATAATAAATATAATAATTCTAGAAAAAAATATATATATATATATTTTTTTTTTTGAGATGAAGTCTCAATCTGTCACCCAGGCTGGAGTGCAGTTACAATCTTGGCTCACTGCAACCTCTGCCTCCTGGGTTAGGGCAATTCTCCTGCCTCAACCTCCTGAGTAGCTGGGATTACAGGTGTGTGCCACCACACCAGGCTAATTTTTGTATTTTTAGTAGAGATGGGGTTTCGCCATATTGGCCAGACTGGTCTTGAACTCCTGACCTCAGGTGATCCATCCACTTTGGCCTCTCAGAGTGTTGGAATTACAGGCGTGAGCCACCATGCCCAGAAAATGAATGAATATATTAAACTGAAATAAGCTAGCCAGGCATGGGTAGACCTGAATAGTCATATATATTTTGTAGAATCATAAGTCAGTGTTTAGCTTATGCTTCCTGTGGTAATCAATCTCTTTCTTCACAATGTTTTCAGCAGTTATGGCAAGGGTTTCCTCAGCTTGATGTTTGGACATCTGTTATTAAACAGAGAGCATTCCTTTCAGATTGTAACTTTATTGTTGAAAATGCCACCGTTTAGATGAGTGGAACCAACATATGTCAACCACCATCTTTAGGAAGCTGTTCTTTTTATTTTAATCTCAGCAAGTGGGATGAAAATTACATCTTACAAATGTAGCATGCTAGGCAGACTCATGTCCTGGCAAGTACATATGTTAGAGAACAGTGCATTCTCAAGCCAATCTGACAAACATTTGAGGAACTCTATTTGGACACTGGTGAAATGAGAGTTAGACAAGGTTTGTTCAGAGCCCAATGTTGGCAGGTATGAGAAAGTCATCTCATCAGTTTCATTGACTATTTCAGGAAGCTGAAATAACCTAGGCCCTAGGGAAAAACGAATTGCAAGGACAAAGGAAAGTTCACAAAGTTACCTTTCCTATCACATATCAGACTTCTATTCTTATGTCTTCAAGCCAATTAGTTTCATATGAAGGCACATAGATTTTGTGGCTTATGTATCCCGGTTCAAACACAAACAGTTCATTCATTCTTCAGTCAGAACTCAGAAGTAAATCACACAAATGGGCATCATACTTACCCCTATAATCTTTGAAAATATTATTGAAAATGCTGGTTGCAGGCCCCCATTTACAATGGCACAAAATACACCAACAACAAAATAAGGCCATTCAGTTAAATTTAGCTTCAAAATCCTCCAAAAGGAAACTGGAGGTACACTTTCATCCTAGAAAACACAAGTTATTACAACAGGCTAGTTACAAACTTTTATAATTGATTTTATAATGTAAGTTCTTACATACACACAAAAATTTATACAGAAATATATCATATCCTTATTCCTTATCAAGTAATAAACTATGACAATTTTGCTTCAAAAAATGTCATAGTGATTATAATTTAGCTTCAAAAAATGCTGACAAACTTTGCTACAATACTCCTTTTTTTTTTTTTTTTTTTTTTTTTTTGAGATGGAGTCTCACTCTGTTGCCCAGGCTGGAGTGCAGTGGTGCAATCTTGGCTTACTTCAGCCTCTGCTTCCTGGGTCCCGGTTCAAGCAATTCTCCTACCTCAGCCTCCCAAGTAGCTGGGATTACAGGCATGAACCACCATGCCCAGCTAATTTTTGTACTTTTTAGTAGAGATGGGGTTTCACCATGTTGGCCAATCTGGTCTTGAACTCCTGACCTCATGATCTGCCCACCTCAGCCTCCCAAAGTGCTGGGATTACAGGCGTGAGTCACCGCGCCTGGCCAATACTCATTTATTTAAAAAAAAAAAAAAAATGATGTTTCCACAAACACTTAACTTTTATTTGGTATTCAGAACCTAACAAGAATAGAAACAGAATAGAAATGTTATTTGAAGACCCACTATAGTCTCTTTACACTATAAATTTTAATTCTAAAAATTCTGCCACATAAATTAACATTCTTAAAATCTAACCTGATTTTAAAATGTTGACGTTCTGGCTTGTGGAACATTCTGGGGGATAGGACAGGAGGATTTTGGATAACCCTTTCTTGTTCCCACTCCTGCTGTAGCCCTAGCCCACCAAACTAGGGGAACCACAGTAGGTGAGATTAAAACAAACTCCACATCCCCCTTCATACCAGATTCTCTTTGGTACTAGGCTTTTTGTCTTGGCCTTGTGATCCACGGATACTCCTCCGACTTGATCTTTTTCTTATTAGACTGGATCCTGAATCATTCGAAGACATTTCCAAGGCATCAGTTTCACTTTTGGATTCATCAGCTGCATTTTCTAATTCAATTTCATTTCCTGCTGTCTAAAATAAATAAGAAATATGCATAAGCTCATTCAGCTCTGCTAACCAATGAAAGTTAATCACTGAATGTCAGCTATCAAGGAAAACAGTAATTTGTTCAGTAACTGCAGGAAATGATAAAGCTAATCTGCTGGGTTGTCTTATGTGTATGTGTGTGTTTCTGTATGATATTTGAAAATAAAAACCACTAAAGAAGGAGGATTCCCATGACTATACTGAAATAACATGGCATTAATTCCATGTAGCTTATCTTCTCAGGACTTTTTTTGTGGGTATTTGGACTCAACCAAGTTTATTCTGGATCAGGGCAGTCAAGAGAAATATGGAGCAAGCTATACTGTGAGCCATGTTATTTCAAATTTTCCAGAGGCCATGTTAACAAATGTAAAAAGAAAGAAGTCAAATCAATTTTGATTACATATTTTATTTCACCTAATATATCCAAGATATTATTGATATCCAATGATACCATTTCAACATGTAATCAATATAAAAATTGAGATATTTTGCATCTTTTTTTGTACTACATCTTCAGAACAAGATGTGCACACTCTACTTACAACATTCCAATTCAGATTCACTACTCTTTAAACGCTCTAAGGCACATGTGGCTATTGACTACTATAATGGATAACTCACCCTGAAACCTTTTAATTTTTTTATCTGTTTATCCCTCTTTATTTTCCCTCTTTTCAAGAGAGAAAAGAAATCTTAAACACTGGTCTCATCCTGAATCCCCCAAGTGTTTTTTCCTACTTTTAAAGATAATCAAATCAAATAATATTTATTTTTAGCATTACATGCAAGATCAGTTTATCACTGAGATGATGTAGGAAAATTCTAAAGTTAAACTATACCTGCATTGTGACAAGTCTGAAGTAAATTCCTTTCTCTTTCATGAGTTCATCATGATTTCCTTTCTCCACAATGACTCCATCATCGAAACCAGCAATGACATCAGCATTACGAACTGTAGACAAACGATGAGCTACCACAATGGTGGTCCGGCCTTTTCTGGCCTAAAGAGAGGGAAATTTGGTTTCTGAATATACTAATAAGTACATGAAAAAACTTATTCATTCAGCATATATTTACTGAACCAATGTTTTGGGCATTGTAAAACCATCAAATCTATATAAGATAAACTCTGACTTCAATAAATGTATAGAAATTGATAATAGTTAAAAAGATGTTTTATTATAATAAATACAAACACAAATATAACAGTGACATATTAATATTATGTAAGCCCGCAAATATTTTACTTAACCGAAATTTGCAGTAATAATCAGGAGCTTGTGAAAACCAACAAATTCCTAAGGCTCAGACATTGGCCAATCAAAACAAACACAGGCCATTGTGCTGTACTGGTACACACCAGCTAGTAAGCAGCTCTAAGAATCATGATATCCTATCCCACATGACCTCCTGGATGAACAAGACAGACAATAAATGTGAGGCAACAAAGTCCAGACCTCAGTGTCACACTGACCTGAAATAAATGTATGAATTTATTTTATCCAAGGGGCCTGTGTGAGGCTCAATTTAATCATATATTAAATGGGGACAATAATAATACTCACTTCTTAGAGTAGTTGTGACGACTAAATGAAATAATGCACATAAAGTACTCAACACTGTGACTTATCCATACCAAGTGCTTAATAAGTGATACTTATTCCTATGTATGAGAATCATGGAAATATTGAAGAGTCATGTAAATCTCTTTTATTTTCACAGAGGAACAGAGCCAGATACCCAGGCCTTGTCTGAGACCTCTTTAACCTTTGTAAGTTTTCCAGTGCTCATGATTTTTGTTACTCTATATTTCTCTCCAGTAACTAGCAATACAATTATCAAAACCAACACACAACATTTTCAGGATCAATAGGATAAGCAGAAGTAGAAAACTTCAAAAACGAAATACACAAGAGAAAAATTAGGTGGCAGAAACTAGAAAATACAGAAGATAATAGATCGATTATTTGCATGTTTTTGAGAAAAAGGGGGCATGTGGAATTTTCCCCCAAAATTTATACCCGAAAGTATTTTAAAATATAACCTTTAAAATTGCTTTTATTTATAATTTAATGCATACTTTCACTATAGATTAATAAGGAAACACAGATAAGCAAACAAATAAGTGGTGGCTCATATCTGTAATTCCTGCACATTGGGAGGCTGAGGTGGCCCAGGAGTTTGAGACTAGTCTGGGTAAGATAGTGAGACCTCATCTCTAAAAAAATATCTAAAAATAGCTGGGGGCTGGGCACATTAGCTCGTGCCTGTAATCCCAGCGCTTTGGGAGGCTGAGGCAGGTAGATCAACTGAAGTCAGGAGTTCAAGACCAGCCTGGGCAACATGGTGAAACCCTGTCTTTACTAGAAATACAAAAATTAGCCAGGCATGGTGTAATCCCAGCTACTCGGGAGGCAGAGGTTGCAGTGAGCCAAGATTGCACCACTGCACTCCAGCCTGGGTGACAGAGTGAGACTCCATCTAAAAAAAAAAAAAATAGCTTGGCATGGTGGCACACACCTGTGGTCCCAGCTACTTGGAAGGTTGAGGTGGAAGGATCACTTGAGACTGGGCAGCAGAGGTTGCAGTGAGCCATTTGGGCACCACTGCACTTCGGTCTGGGTGAGGAAATGAAAGGGGAAAGAGGAAAGAAAGGGGGAAGGGAAGGGGAAGGGGAAGAAGAAGAGGAAGGGAAGGAGGGAAGAAGGAAGAAAGGAGGAGGAGGAGGAAAGGAAGGAAGGAAGGGAGGGAGGGACGGAGGCAGGGAGGGGTGAAATCACAGATTAAGCAAAATGATGGGTAAAAAAAAGGAGCCACAATCCCATTTGCCTCTATTTTGGTTCACAGAATGTTTAGTAAACTGCTTTTTTTTTCTCCCTCAAAAACTTATTAAGCACATTGACAGGATGTTTAAAGGAACATTCAGTGTTGTTTTACTAGAGACAGGGAGAGTTGGAACAAATATGGGTTCATCTTTGAATTCTACTGTGGCATCTCAACTCGGAGCACCTTTGGTTAGAAAGTCTCCCTCTCCACATTCCTGGTCCTCACAGAATTATCTCTGTTACTATGACATGCTGGAGATCAAACTCACAATGGCTGGCACAGGGCAAACACTCAAATCCTACATGGTGAATGAGTCATATGGACTCAAGCATTGTAGGGCAGTCAAACTCTGTTGATAGTGAATAACGTTTCATGGCTTAGTTAAGTTTTCAGTATCATAGGCTCTCTGCCCCTCTCCTGGAAATAAGAGGTTTCTTATTTCCCACAGAGTCTTAAAGTGGCATTCAACACCTTGAAGTTAAATATCGACCTTCAGGTTGTATTTTTCTCTTCTTGGCAATATTACAAACCCTCAAAACCTAAATAACAGGTTTATCCAAATAGTCAAGTTTTGAAGATCACAATGAAGATGAATTTTCACTTGTGTCTATATTTCTATTTTTTAATTTAAAAGATTTGCAAGTGTCTTTAGATGAAAATTTATTCATCGTCACTTAAGATCAGAGAAATAAATACCAATTGAACAAGAAAAGAAACAAATAGGAAAAGAGTTCAAAGAGCCCTAATGCTTTTATTTTAATAGCTGAAGAAATCACCTAGAAGCTATCAGAAATTTCCTTTTCTAAGACCAATATTTATTTACAAGAATTGATAGTAGAATGTTTTTATGCTTATAAATCAGGCTTGTTTGAACTAAGCCTTACTGACCTTATCCAGAGCCACCTGAACCACTGCTTCACTTTCCGTGTCCAAGGCTGATGTGGCCTCATCCAGCAGGAGGATCTTGGGGTTGCGAACCAGGGCACGTGCAATGGCAATCCTCTGCTTCTGTCCACCACTGAGCTGGGCCCCTCTCTCTCCAACCAGGGTGTCAAATTTCTACCACAGAAAACCCAGAATGATTTAGCACAAGGACAAGCTATCTCAGCTCATATTTTAAATCGGTAAGGAATCCTATACACAACCCAAGACTCACAGGCAATGTAAGTCCAGTTCTTCAAATCTTAGCACAATAACCAACCCCAGTTTTTAAAAATTTGCCTATGACCAGTTGATACTGCTTAGAGCTTTCAAAGCTGAACTAATCTTGATTTCCCTTCCTCTGATTTACAGTAGTTTCCTAACTTCCTATGTAGTAGGCCTGCATTTTATTCTTTGCACCTCTAGAAAGGCAAAGGTCAAGGACAACTTACATGAGGCAGTTTCATGATAAAGTCATAGGCATTGGCTTCCTTGACAGCTTTCTCAATCTCATCCATGGTGACATTTTCACGGCCATAGCGAATGTTTTCAGCGATCGTGGTGGCAAACAACACAGGTTCCTGACTCACCACACCAATGATTTCCCGTAGAAACCTTACATTTATGGTCCTAATATCCTGTCCATCAACACTGACCTGAAACAAAAAGTAAGTGTGACTTTCATACATTTGTAGTTGAAAGGGCAATACCAGAAAGATGTGCAATGTGACTGCTGATCGCCACAGCGTCTAGCTCAGCACGGGTCATCTCACCATGCCTTCTGTGGGGTCATAGAGCCTCTGTATCAGCTGGACCGTTGTGCTCTTCCCACAGCCACTGTTTCCAACCAGGGCTACCGTCTGCCCACTCTGCACCTTCAGGTTCAGGCCCTTCAAGATCTACCAGGACAAGTGAGAAAAAAACTTTAAGGCAATTCACAGACACAGGGTATAGGAACTGATCGTTCAATACTAGGTTTAAATATACACACATTTTTTTCATAATCTCTAAAGAAAATATCAGAAACTCTTCATTCAATAGATTAATTGTTGATTGATCATTGATCACTGTACCTTAACTTCTTTTCGAGATGGGTAACTGAAGTGAACATTTCTGAATTCCAAATTTCCCTTAATATTATCTGGTTTGTGCCCACTCTTCGAATAGCTGTCAATGCTTGGCTTCTAAACAGAGTCAAATTTTAACACAATATTAGGTTACAACAACTACTTTTAGTGATATTTTGTGGACAGCTGGATAAAGAGACAAAGAAATTGACTCTTAACAGGACAATCTTTTAGACAGATGGGTAAGTGGCCAACTCAGACTTACATTATCAATTATCTTGAAGATTTCATATGCTGCTCCTCTTGCATTTGCAAATGCTTCAATGCTTGGAGATGTCTGTCCAACACCAAAAGCCCCAATTAATACTGCAAAGAATACCTGAGGAATGTGAAGAAAAAACATCAGGTTACTCAGATAGTGACAGCAAAAGTTTTTTCATACTTCTTCTGTCTCTTTCTAACATAGCTAATTAAAATTTAAAATGGCAAGGCAACATATAAGTACTGGGTGTTAAAAATATTCTAAAAGTTTGTAACTAACAGTACATTTAATTCCTTTTTTCATTTTTTTTTCTTTCTTAAGAGACAGGGTCTCATTCTGCCACCCAGGAGGAGGATGATTCTGTCACTATGACGCAGTGGTGCAATCATATCTCATTATAACCTCTACCTCCTGGGCTCAAGCAATCTTCCTGCTTTAGTTTCCCAAGTAGCTTGAACTACAAGCATGAACCATTACACCTAACTTTTTAATTTTTTGTAGAGATCAGATCTTGCTATGTGTCCCAGGCTGGTTTCCTGGCCTCGAGCAATCCTCCTGCCTCAGCCTCCAAAAGTCCTAGGATTATAGGCATGGGCCACCCCACCCAAGAGTAAATTTCATATGTGTCACTTCAAAAAGTGTCAAGTGAGATGATGGATATGTTAGCTTGATCTGATCACTCCACATTTTGTGTGTGTATGTGTGTGTGTGCGTGCACGTATACATAAACATCACATTGTACTCCATAAGTGTAATACAATTACGGTTTGTCAATTAAAAATAGCATAAAATTTAAAAAAATTTAAGACAAGGTCTTGCTTTGTGGCCCAGCCTGGAGTGCAGTGGTGCAATCCTAGCTCACTGTAACTTCAACCTCATGGGCTCAGATGACCCTAAATTAGTACTAACTAGCTAGATGTTGTTAGGCCATTCTCTTAGAATTTTTGGCTTCAATTTCTTCATTTGAATAATAGGAAAGGTTCTATCCATTCCCCCTATCCAGCAATCATAGAGATGTTGTATCATGATAAAACAGGATATATGAACATTTTTTGTAAATTATAAAGCACATACACCTAAGTCATTGATCCTTTATCAGATTAAGTCTTTTTTGTCACAGGCCATGTTCTCTTTAGATCTTTTGTTTTTGTTTGTTTGTTTGTTTTATGCAAATCAGTTTCTTATAGGTAAAGATTTAGCTTTGTTTCTCTTTGGGGTTGAGGATAATTAATGTTATTATTTGTTTTTTCTAAATCACATGGAATTACATTGTTCAGTAATTTACACAGAAGGAACTTTGCTAGGTGATTCTATATTCATTATCTCAATCAGTCCTCAAAACAACACTGAAAGTTAAAGCTCATTCCTGTCATGTCATGTGAGAGAAAAGGAGGCTTGAAAAGTTTAGCTGGCTGCCCTAAATCATACAGCTAATAAGTGACACAGCTGCCATTTGAACCAAGCTGGTCTGATATCAAACCCCACACTCCCTATTCTGGATGCCTTCAGTTTGTGAGGTATATTTATGCCCAGTAAATACTGGATTTAAACTGCTTATCTCAATCACAGTTAAACAGAATACATCTCTTAAAACAACTACAGTTCACCAATAGCATCACTATACTCAAAAAAGCTTTATGGGAAAAGCCATTCCTGACTGAGTAATGTTGGACATAGCAAATTTAAAAAACAAAAGAGGTGATTATTGCATCCATATTACAAATCTGGTTCCTGAAAAAGGGAATTGATTTAAGGAATTCCACAAAATATCATCTCTCATTGCCTCAATTTACTTGTGCTTGGCCTATGAAAAAGGAACTAAGTGAATCTTTTAACAGTGTGTATGTTACTACAGCCGGACACGAATTGAGTTTGGTTTGCAAATTATTTCATTGTCTTCAAAATAAAAAAGGATAAAATTAAATGGCAAGACTGTGCACTTGCACAAAGGTCTATAATGCAGAAAACTTCCAAACAATCTTCTAGGAAGAGGAACAATTTATACTTCTATAATTTGTGAGGTGGATTAGCAGCCATTCGAAATAATTTGAAAAGAAGTCAAACTGCGTATTTTACCATTTTTGTGAATTGTAAATCAGAAAACAAAAGTGAAGTGTTTAGCATCAAGTTTGACACAAATAATCTCAACAAATAAAAGTTCACGCTATTGAGATTGCTAATGTCAGTATTATTTAGGCCACAGGAGAAACTGGGCAAGATATCTGCAAAAAAGGCAACAAAACTGGTTGTCAGATGCATCTAATTTTTTTCCACTTTTTAACCTAGTAATGCGTGTGTCTGTAGTATTCAATAGTTGTTCAAAATACATTCTTCCAAAGTCAAGTCAACATTACTGGATTTCATTTTCATTTTAAAATAATGGTTCATTTCTTAATATAAATCACTTACAGTGAGTACTTGTCCAATAGTATATTCCCCTGAGAGGACCAATGTGGTCCCATACCAGAAGGCCAGAGCATAAGATGCATAGATCAGTAGGAAAGCAGCACCTATAGAAATATTGGCTGTAATGGCTTTCTTTATCCCAATTCTTTTAGCTTCTTCTAAATTTTTGTTGTACCTGGGAAAAAGAACAAAATGATCACATATATTCACAAATTTTATGAAAACATATCAACATAGCATGAGAGTTATTGAGTGGCTAGGATATGCTCAGTCCTATGATATACATGCATTTTGTCCTCCTACTCATACCCTATATAGTAGTACTATTTTACTCCCCTTTTGTAGAAGAAAAAAACTGAAATTTACAGAGATAAACTTATTTGTGGGGAGTCTTATAAAACTTCCTTCTCTGGCTTTAGCAATAGCAAAATAAGTGAAGCAATATTTAGCAAACATCTAGAACTTATATTGTTACATACACAAGATAAAATAGAAGCCATGGGAAAACCCTTGTTTTCCTTTCAAAATCTGCATGCCTCTTTATTTAAGTAATAAAATGGAGAGATGATGTTAGAAAGTGCTAAAAAAGGGAAAGTCATCTAAATCTCTGAACATTAAGGGAGTTTGGAGACAGTTTGCGCTCTGTCCTGACTTTCTCTAGGACTGTCAGAATGACCAACTGAGAGGTTACATGTGAGAGCATTTTGAAAGCTCTGAATTGCCATGTAATACTTTTTACACTTAAGCTGTACAGTTTATCTCATTTCCATAGATGTTTAGTTTAAAAATCAGTGAACTACAAAAATTATTTGGCTTACTGGTATATAAAAGTCCATCATTATTCATCAGTATTCTCTCTCTTCCTTCTCCTTTCTACATATTGACTATGTGTCCCTCCCTCTCTTAATGCTCCCCAACACTTGTCATGCTATGGCTGCCTGCTGCTGGATTAACAGGCTCTGACCTGGCGGCTTGGGCCATCCAGGATTTCTGGCTGCCTCAAGAGCTAAGAAAAATTAAATATAATTCTGAACCATTGACAACACAAAGGCCTACCCCAAATTAACCAAACCTGGAGAGCGCCCATTAATACTTCTTAGTACAAATATAGGAAATTATACAAAAGGGGCAAAAATGAGAAAATGAAAAAAAAATTCAAAAATAATGTTGGAGTCACTGACAGATTTTATTTCTCCAGTTCTAATGACTTAGAGCTTATTCCCAACTGATAATTCAAATATTTTTTATGTCAAAGCTAAAGGAAATGATGTCTGTAAGTCTACCTTCATTTGAAAGGAACAGAGTAGACTACTCTATTTAAGAAGAGAGCTATGGAGATAAGCTAGTGGAGCCCAGAGTTAAAGGAAAATAAGGAATTTTGCAAATATAGAACCAAGGTAAAAGGATTGGAGAAACAGGATGGATTGCCTTTTATCTGTCTATATTTTCTTAATCACGGCTCCCTGAAGAACCTAGAGCATTGCCTTGCATAGAGGAGGGGCCAATAATTGTTGAAATTAATGAACTTACTTCCATATAAAAATCATACTTTCAGGTCTTTGATCCATAAAATTCACAACTATATAAATATTACATAGTATAATATTAATTTCCTTTGGAGAATTTGTTCCATTAGTATGTACAGCAGAGTGCAAGCACTGTCTAGATATGAACATGCATTGTTTCTTGTTTTCATGACTACTTTAGGTGCATTACACAGTTACAAAAGCATGCCAAGTGAAATTTACATCACTACCATGTTCACTAAAGATGAAATTTAAACAGAACTTCACAGTGACAACATATCAACACATCATTAGTTTCTATCCCCCAAAATGTAAATCCTCAACTTGCCAGTTATCATCTGAGAAGAAAAAATATTTTTGAGAAACATGTTTGAATGATTTATATACACACATGAACACACACACAACACACAGAAACATATGTATCTCTCACTTTATGAGATGAACTGAGGTGAAAGGTACACTGGGAATAACTTACATAATAGTACATTTAAGGAAATTTAATGCACATGTTCTATACTCTGCTATCTCCTTTATTTCAGTTCTCGCTTACCGAGACTAACGTAGAAACCAGTATGATGTTGTCCTATGCAGCCAGAGGAAACATTTGCACAGATGCACAAGGAAAAAAATCATTTTGACATCAGAAAGGAGAAATAAAGGAAAGAAGAGGGTAAAGGGAAATGAGACATAAACAATATCCTTTTCCATAAGGTCTTTGTTGTTTTTCAATATAAATGTCACATATAAAACTAGATATTAAAATCATCCATTCCTCAAAAGATTTGCTATAGAAATGATCATGAAAGTAGGAGTGGCTAAAATAGACTAAAGTTACATAACAAAATCATCAGTATGTAGGAAATATGATTCTTCTTAAATATTATGAAAATATTTATTAATAATGCAAGTAATCACTTATAAGAGGAAGGAACAATTCTGGTTAAGCAAACAGAAATAAATACTATAGATAAATATATTTTCTCTTTTTGTTTTTTTTCTTTTTTTAATTTATTTTTGTTTGATAAATATATTTTCAAGATACATAAAAGAGATAAAAATATTTTTAAGTTAAAAAGAACAAAACTATTCTATATGATTGAATGAAATTCATTTTAACTTCTGGTTAAATTTCCATTCAAAGAGAGCCATCTTCCCCCCTGTACTGCTAATTTGAAAAGAAAGTCAGATTAAGACCCCTAGTACTTTATGTAGAAGCAGAGAAGCGAAGGAGAAGAACTGGAAAGAAAACTGATTATGTTTGGTCTAAGAACAGTCATCAATTCTACTTCTAAGTTATATCCCAAATCTAGGTACCTGTCACCCTTCTCCTGCCCCTGCTCTACATCAGGGAGATCCTGTGGCCTGGACCACTCTGCCAGCCACCCCATTGGTCTTCCTGCTTCTACCCTTTGACTTTTCCATTCATGAGACCCATTAGAGGCAGGGAAACAATCTGAAAACATAACATGTATCCTTATTCCTCTGTTTAACACCCTCAACCACTCTCCTATGTCCTTGGAATACAATCCTAACTCTTCACCATGGCTCACCATCCCTATATTCTGGCCCCTGCCTACTCCAATCTCCCCTCACTCAACTGAGCTTCAGTCACGTAAGCCTTATGAGGTTTCCTAGAACATATCAAAGTCTTAGCCACCCCAGGAAATTTGGAACACTCTTCTTCCAACCCATCCTATCCCTCTCCCCACATGGCATGGTTTTTCTCATCCCTCAGGTCTCAGCTGAGATGAAACCTCCTCAAGGAGGCCTGCCCCAACCACCATATTTAAAGTTAACGTGCCCTCCCCAACATCATCATTACATTCCTTGATTCTTTCAGAGCAATTTTTTTTTATTATCATACTTTAAGTTCTGGGGTACATGTGCAGAACGTGCAGGTTTGTTACATAGGTATACACGTGCCATGGTAGTTTGCTGCACCCATCAACCCATCATCTACATTAGGTATTTCTCCTAATGCTATCCCTTCCCTAGCCCCCCAACCCCAGACAGGCCCCAGTGTGTGATGTTTCCCTCCCTGTGTCCATGTGTTCTCATTGTTCAACTCTCACTTACGAGTGAGAACATGTGGTATTTGGTTTTCTGTTATTGTGTAAGTCTGCTGAGAATGAGAATGTAAACCTTCGGTTTACAACTTCATTTATGTCCCTGCAAAGAACATGAACTCATCCTTTTTTATCGCTGCACAGTACTTCATGGTGTATATGTGCCACGTTTTCTTTATCTAGTCTATCATTAATGGGCATTTGTCTTGGTTCCAAGTCTCTGTTATTATGAACAGTGCCACAATAAACACATTTTTAAATCAATATTTTTATTTATTTCTTTGACAATTCCTTATATTTCTTTGTCCCTTTCTCCCTTCCTTCCATTTTTACCCATCTTACTATTTTGACTGGAGATCATACAATATCCTCTATTTCTAATTCACAGCTGAAAACCTAGAGCCCTAGCTTTGTTTAAACCTTTATAAAATAAAACAAGAAAAGAAAAAGAAAACCTAGAACCTAGCACAGTGCCTGGCATGTTGTAGGTGCTGAATACATTTGTTGAATGAATAAACTTTTAAGAAATGGCCAACCTGGGAAGAACAATAGGCCATCAGTTTGTAGTCCTATGTCAACTCTTGACCTCCAAGCAAAACTAATTACAGTTCTCCAAGGGAGACTGTCTTTTCAAAGATATATTCAAGTAACTCATATTTTCTGAAGAAATGATTCCATATATAAAATACTTCTTAGAGCAAATATAGAAATCTTTGGATATAGCTGTGTACATCCATTTGTTTATTCTTATAATTAAAAGTTGATCACTATTTTCTCTAGGAAAAATATTTTCGTGTCTAACTTATTAAAGCAATCTCCCTCAAATCTGAATTCCTTTAAACTTTCAGTGAACTAAAATGATTGGATTTATCTAAGTTATAAATGTTGGGTTTCACTCCCATAATGTCCATTTCCTTCTTCTCAGGTTTTACTCCATCCATCATTATAGATTTTGTTGCTAATCATGTCCTTAAAAATATTGTCAGTTCCTCAAATTTAAGATGAATTTAATTGTAACAAGTACTGTTATTCTGTTATTTTATAAAGCATTAAGAAAGGAGTTTAATAGTAATTTCCATATGCAGCTAGGACCCAAAGGGCTATACCTCAGTATATTAAGCAACACACAGCAGAACTCACGTCTCAACCTTGACACCAACCAGGTGAAGGAAGGAAAAAACAACCTCCCTGAGAATCTGGACCACAAAGCAGGACTCATGCAGGTCTGAGTATGAATTTACACTACGAGTGTGGTCCAAAGCCAACGAGACACAGAATTTAATGTAAGATGGTCTCAGGTTAGCAGGGTACCCACGGTGAATAGCAGAAGCAAACATAAATCCTGCCTGAAAGTATTGAACTTCAATCCAGATTCACAGCAATTGTAAGATGGCACAGACTGGTAGGTTTATTTCAATTTCAGAGATGATGAATTCATTCAGAATTGATGAAAAACTATACATTTTCTATTTGTTCATTCCTGGTTTAAAGGAATGCCATTTATTCTGAGTAATGATAGGTATCCAGAGATCTTATTGTATATTGTTAGCTTATAAAGTCTACTGAAATTTCTGTGTAGGTAATCATATTGCCTGTGAATAATGACAGTTTTTTTCCTGTTTTCCAATCCTTATTGCCTTTATTTCTTTTTTGTTTTCTTTTTTCATTCTTACTCTTATTTGTTTTCTTGGTCTTATTATCTAGCACTAGTGCAACACTACTCAGAAATGACGCTAGCAGACATACTTGCCTCATTCATTATTTGTTTTTTATTTTTTAAATTGACAGAAAAAAATGTATTTATTTATTTCATTCATTATTTTAAGTGTTAAAATGCTTTTTAATGTTTCACCACTAAATGTTTCCTGTGGGTCTCTAATATATTAAGAAGTTTGTTTTTTATTCCTAGTTTTAAGAGTTTTTTGTCATGAATTGTATATAATTAATGCTCTTCCCCTTACATCAAAACAAATTTTTTTATTTTAATCTGTTAATATAGGTAATTATATCAACAGATTTCCTAATGTTAAAACCATCTTTGCATTCGTAGGATAAAGCCAACACGTTCAGGATGATTTTAATCTGTTATTTTTCATGATTTCATTTAGCAAATAATTTATTTATTTATAATTTGTGCATCTATGTTTTAGGTGAAACTGTCCTTTGGTTTTCCTTTCTCATATTATACCTGCCTGGTTGTAGTATCAACGTTATACTAGCCCCATAAAATGAACTCACAAGCTTTTTTTCCCCCATTTTCTACAAGAATTTATGTAAGAGAGAGTTATCTCTTTCTTGAAGTTGTGGTAGAACTTGCCTACAAAATTATCCAGACTTATGATTTCTGCTTGGGTGGGGAGAAGCAGCGGAAAATTGAGATTTTTAACTTTGAATTTAATCCTTTTAATGGCTATGGTTTACTCAGGTTTTCTTCTTAAGTAAGGATTTTAACCTACATTCTTCTAGCATATTGTTTATATCATCAGGGTTTTAAAATTGATTGGTATAAAGCTGTAATTTATAGATATTTTAATCTGTTTCCTGATTCATTCTTTTTTTGTTCCTGATTAAACATATAAAATATTTAGTTATTTATCAGTCTTTTTAAATAATTATTTATGAAGTTGTCAATCTTCCACTCTTTTGCCTTATTTTCTATTAATTTTTGCTTTTACCCTTATTATTTCCTTCTAATATTTTATTGTTCTTTCTCTAACTTCTCGATTTAGATGTTTAGTTCTTCAATTTTCAATAATTTTTCATTTCTTCTACAAGATACTCTGGTATCACTGGACTAGAGCTCATTGTTAATGTAAAATCCTCAGCTTTTGAGAGAGATCATTTTCTAGTCCACAGAGCGTTATAAATTCAGACCCCAACTGCAGATAGCAGTCAGGCCTGAGAATCTAACTTCTATTGGGAGATGTTTTTCCCCAGCTGTGAAACCAGGCAGAAGCTAAGTTTGGTTGGTCTTCCAATGCTGTTCGGCATATTATTTTTCTGGTCCACTTTTCCTCTGAGGAAAACTGAAAAAGAATTCCAAACTCAAAACTTCATTATGTCTCTGCTCAAATATCAACTAATCAGAAAAATATTTTTCTGAATAACCTATCTAAATAGTATCTTCATGATTCTCTTATTTTATTTCCCTAAATAATATTTACCCCAACTGGTATATTCCCTCTTTGCTTATTTGTGGTTGTCTATAATCTTACCCAACCCCATTAGAATTTAAGCTCCGTAAGAGCCAGGACTTTACTTCATTGAATATTTGCTCAGTCATTAAGCAGGACTCCTCATTTTATTACTCAGACATATTTTAAAGCAAAAGCAAAGACCTTAGCAAAAATCAAAATGTAACATAGATGCTGCTTTCCTTTGAACAATGGCACTTAGCCATCACAAATTATTCTCAGAGGACATATCTTTATATTTGTGAATATACTATACGAACAAGAGTACTCCAAACATATATGCACAGTGAAAAAAAAATTATAGAGTGAATACTCATATAAGTACGCCTGAGATCAAGAAAACAGAGCACTGCCAGAACCACAGAATCCCCTGCCATGTGTTCGGTTCTCATCATACAATTACTCATCTTTCCCAGAGCTAACCACTATTCTGACTTCTGAAAATTCCCTCTGTTTTCTTTATGGCTGTACCAGACAATGTATATACCCTTTAACCAATACAGTTTACTACTTTCAAATATATATATATTCATAACATTGAAATGTTATAGCATCAGAATATTATAATTTATATTCAATTTTAAATAAAATCTATTGCTGCTTAGAAATCAGTAATCTAATTTATATTATAAATTTCAATAAATTACTATCTATGCTCTCAGAAATCTAATAAAGGGGAACAGTTGCAAGCATAACACTAAACACATAATATAAAAGAATTTGAACTTTTGTACAAATGTGCTTTTTGGTTATATTTTCATCTTCCAAATCACGTAGCATATATCAACTAAGTTGGGGCCTGGGGAGAAGGGAAAATAAACCACAGATTAAAATGTCCCGATAGATCTTACACAAAATACTCAGGCAATCTTAGACAATCAATAATTAACTTAATAGAGGAAAAAAAATACATCAGAGATATAAAATACATTTCAGCCTTAGGAAACTATTTTTACATTATTGCCTATCTAGAAAACTCTTTGAATTAGCAGATAAAAGTACAATTAGAATTGCAACTTCTCCAAAATACTAGTTATGCTGTAATATATCCATTAAGCTATTTAAGAAAACATATATATGGGAGAAAATGCTTACAATTAACACTGTCAATCTGAAGGGCCTATGAGAAGACAGAATTTAACATTTCTATCCATTTAAAAAAGAAACTCAAACCTTTCAAGTTCTTTCTTTTGTCCTCCAAATGCAATCACAGTTCTAATTGCTGCCAAGACCTCTTCAGCTACTGCTCCAGCTTTTGCATATGCTAAGAGTTCTTTATCAGTAAATGAAGATAATATCTGTTTAAAAATACAATTATGGATCATGAAAAAATTTTAACACATTAATTTTATCTTTTGTAAAGTAAAAATAAATATATACATGGGGCTGCTTATACATTAATGTATATGTAGAACAAAATCTGTGTGTCATTTGCCTTTGGTCATCATGTTCTATTTTATTAGTATCTATATTCACTTTGTAAGCCATTCCAAATGCTTTTTGGACTGAGATGGTACATAATAGATTAATTGAAAATGTTATTTTCCCATTGAAAACCTCATAGATCCTCATTTAAAGAAATATAACTAGAAATTTTAGAAGATGATAAATTTCAAAAAGAAAGTCTATACTACATTATAATTATAAACAAATATAGAAAACAGGCCTTATGTAAAAGAAATATGGTGTGTGCTCAACACGTCAAGTGCTAATGGTACTCTAGTTCAGAAGTGTCAAGGTGGGAGGCCAGAAGAATTCAGAGGACCAAGTCCATATGGTAACATGACTTCAAGAATGTCTCACATGCCAAATAGTTTCCTCTGTTGGTGCTCTTGGGCAAAGCAATACATTGAGCCACCAAAGGAGGTCTTCATTTTGTGGATGCTCTTTGATCCTTCTGTTTGGTTCCTGACCATTTATTCTGTAGACGGAATAGTACTGGGTACTTTACATACACAGAAGTTCATTAATTCTTCTCAACTGCATAGTGAAGTGGCTATTGTCCCCACTTTACATATGAGGAAATGGAGGCATAAGAAAGTTAAATAATTTTCTAAGTAAAATATCCAGGATTCAAGCCTGAGTCATAAGGCTTCATAGCCTGAATTAACAGCCACTGGAGTAAACCTCTCCCTGAAACCAGCCACTGATGCATGAACTTGGGTCCCAAATGGCCCTATTATGAAAGTTGGATCAATTTCAATGGGCAAAGAACTAAGGTTACTGTACCTAGAATGCTGAAGTTGTCAACTATCTAAATAAAGATTATACATGACAGGCCAGGTGTGGTGGCTCACACCTGTAATCACAACATTTTACGAGGCCAAACAGGAAGAATTGCTTGAGCCCAGGAATTCTAGACCAGCCTGGGCAACATGACAAGACCCCACCTCTACAAAAACTTTAAAAATTAGCTAGGTGTCATGGCACATACCTATTATCCCAGAGGCTGACTGAGACGGGAAGATAGTTTGAGCCTAGGATGTCAAGGCTGCAGTGAGTAGTGGTTGCACCACTGCACTCCAGCCTGGTCAACAGAGCAAGATCCTGTCCTCCCCTTCCCTCCCCAAAAATTACACACAATCAATTTATTTTAAAAATTCTGATTAAATGGAATTATATTCTTTCCATAAACAATTCACAGGCATTTGTGGACTCAGTTATGTAAGAAACATTGGTCTATTCCTTCCTGGCATAAAAAGCTCAAGATTGTTTGGGTTTTAACACTGGATTTCTTCCTTTCCTATGTGTGAAGGTAAAAGGAGCTATGACAGCTAGAGGAGGCTGTGCACGGTGGCTCACGCCTGTAATCCCAGCACTTTGGGAGGCCCAGGCAGGCCGATCATGAGGTCAAGAGATGGAGACCTTCCTGGCCAACATGGTGAAACCCCGTCTCTACTAAAAGAACAAAAAATTAGCCAGGCGTGGTGGTGCGTGCCTGTAGTCCCAGCTACTCGGGAGGCTGAGGCAGGAGAATTGCTTGAAACCGGAAAATGGAAGTTGCAGTGAGCCGGGATCGCACCACTGCACTCCAGCCTGGCGACAGAGACTCTGTCTCAAAAAAAAAAAAAAAAAAAAGGCAGCTAGAGGAATGGGTGGATGAAGGCAAATGAACATTCATTAATTATGTTCTAAATGCAGACATTGTGCTGCACGTACCCAGTCTCTTTAGTACCCACATTGATTCACTAGACCTTTCTGACTTCTCAAAGCAGGAGGATTACTTGAGGCCAAGAGTTCAAGACCAGACTAAGCAACACATGGAGACCCCATCTCTACAAAAAAAATTTAAAACTAGCTGGACATGATGGTGCATGACACAGCTACAATGCAGAACAATTCAGTCAAAAATATCCCTCAGGCTACCTTTTATAACCACAGCTGCCCCTATCCCTACCCCTTGCTTCTCCTCCTGTTCTCCATCACTCTTAATTTCTAGCAACCACTAATTTGTTGTCATCTTTATAATTCTGTCATCTCAAGAATATCATATAAATGGAATCATGTGGTATAGAACCTTTTGGGATTGGTTTTTTTCCACACAGCATAATTCTCTACCGATTCATCGAGACAGCTGCATGTATCAATAACACTTTTCATTGTTATTGTCTCACAGGTCCTTGGAGTTCTTTTTTTATTTTATTTGTTTCAGAATGGGTGAGTTACATTGTTCTAAGCTCCAGATTCACTGATTCTATCCTGCCATCTTCAACTGCTTAGGTTAAGTCCATCTAGATTGACTCTTATTTCTGTTGTTGTATATCTCTGTTCTCTAATTTCATTGTTCTTTTAATAAATTCTATTATATCGCTGATTTTTTCTCTTGTTTCAAAAGAATTTATATTTGATTAGCAGGGAATACTTATGATGGCTGTTTAAAAATCATTGTCAGATAATTCCAGCACCTGAATTATCTCAGTGTCGATGTCAGGTAATTGTTGTTGGTTTGTTTGTTTGTGTGCTTATTTTCCTCATTCAAGTAGTGATTTTCTTAATTCTTGGTATGACAGGCAACTTTCTGTTGTAACCTGGACATTTTGACTATTATGTTAAGAGATTTAAATCTGCCTTACTGCAGTGTTAAGAGGTAAATTTATAGCACTAAATGCCCACATCAAAAAGTTAGAAAAACCTCCTTAATAACAATATCA